CAGCAGGAACAGATTCATTCATAAGCATACAGTGCAGGTTAAAAAAAAACCAAACAAAAACAAAAAACAACTTCTAGTATCACCCTCAACCTTTAAGTCCTCATTTGTCTTTACCCACCTCCTTCAAAAAAGTCTATGGTGTGGTAGCTGTACTGCAATGCACAGGAAAACAATGACTGAAGCAGCAAAAGAGACGTACCTGTATGGGTAGCCATGGTATTTGGATCTGAAGACAGAAAGCAACCAGCTGAAGAAAAGCACCACCAAGCCAATGCCAGCAATACACATAACTGCAAGAGATGCAAACCAAGAGTCTGATATGTGATAGGTGTCCTCGAAAACACCACAGTAACTGGGGTTTTCAAAAGCATTCTGTAATATTTACAAATCTGGTCAGATAAGACCTCTAATAGAGTCACTGAGAAGAACTAAATTAACACAAATTTTCTTTCAAATTCCTACTGTAAATCAATTTCATACCATTGCTTTAAGAGGATGTAAGTCACTTCTTCTCTTCCTTACCAGCAAAATGCTGCAAGGCGTCTTTGTATCTCCCCATCTCCCAAAATGTCTTTGAGTTTATCTTGCAGTTTGCTAAGCAACTCCAAATGCTGCCAACAAACCAAATGATTCACTTCTGCTTAGAGGTGGGATGTGTACAAAAAACCACAGTGCAAGAGCATTTCTATTAAACTGTGTATCAAAAATCTTTAGTGAATACGCCTTCTCTTACAGAGAAAGATATTAGTACTTACTCTTTCTTTTCCCAACATCCATGTCAGAAGTAGCAGCTTCATGGAGGAGTACCATTCCTAAAGTAACACCGCCATCTACAAATGCTGTTTAAGGCTAAATCAATGAAATACAAGAGACTCAGCGTAATAGACATATTCCTAATCTTGTAAATTCAGCTCCTATACCATACGTGGGGCATTAAAACTCACTGGAAAAATTAAAGGCTTCCCAGCCAAACCAGCAACCGTGAGGGGAAAAAAGGCAACTCAAAGGCATTAATAATGTCAACTTTTAAGAGAAAATAAATATGAAGTTTAAAAATATAAGCTGGGAGGTATAGTAAGTCTTGACACAAAATTAAAAACATGCATTTATTATCTCAGGTTGTAAGGAAACAGCATTTCTTCCCAGCCGAGAGAGCTCGGTCCACTCCTACTACGGTTCCACTCCACTGGAAAATCCCAAAAGGAACTCAACTTCTGCATTTTACTTAGTTAATAGAATGAATAAAATGCATACAAAACTTAATATCTTTCAAGTTGCAATATTTCAGTCTTTTCTCATAACATTAAGGAAGCACATACAATTTAAAAAGCCTGACATTTGCAAGAACGAGTCCTAGCAAAGCAAAATAGTGGATCCAGTGGAACAAAAGACAAAATTCCCAAAGATTTCATTCCATTTCACTATAGATGTTCAGTCCCAATCCTCCCTCTAAAATGAGAAATACTTCTCATTGACTGCAACAGGACCGTTAAGAAATCTCCATTTCAGATGCAGTCTACCTTCAGCACAAGAGAAAAGTGACTTCAACCTACAGGAACCCTGCCAACTTCTATCATTTTAAGTATCTCCAGCAACTGCTAGATTGGCTCCATAACGTGACAGATACCAATAACACAAATAAACATCAACAAAAAGTTTCTAGGTTGAATTTGACCGAGTACGTCAGAAGTACAATAATTAGAAAAAGATCAGAAGTTCCCCTGCAAATGGATGTTTTAACTTTAAAAAAGAAAAAACTTTGATAATGAATACACAGCAAGAGAGTAAAGTTCTTTTAACACCAGCATATTTAAACATCAATTGCTTACTTTATGTTATTTTATTACAAAAACTCAAATGCATCACTCACTGAAATGGGGATGTTGAATAGACAAAATGAGAAAAGGGAGAAATTAGCAGATATCACTCTGTTAAAGAACATTGCTCTTGCAACAGAAGACACTTGTTAATCGTTGTCAAGCAGTGAAGAGGACAGTTACTTTCAATTAAGTTTTGAAACAATGTGCCTGTAGTAAGTCTGCTATTCTGTATGCTTGCGTACCATAGAACGCAAACAATTTAGGACTGTGAAGCTCTAAGAAAAAAAGATAATATTAAATAAAATAAAAAATCCTGACTAAAAGATAAAAGAATGCACAGGCTGACACAGGTGATGAGACAAGGAAGAAAAGCTTGAGTCAGAGATGATGGATCAAAAACATACATGTAGGAACAGAAGAAAAGAACATTGCATTTTAGAGTATTCTTATTACTCCAAAGAAATATTTTTATACAAATGAGAAAGGCAAAAGCTCTCAATCTGCAAGTTTCCACTCGCCTTTCTCGATGGCGTAATACTGGCATGGAAAAATCCTGAATTGTTAGCATGACTGAGTGGTAAGATTAAAAGTAAAGAAGGTAAGCAGAGAAGTAAAAGAAGAAAGATCAATAACAGAGGAAGGAATTCAACACCAAAACAAGAACTAAGTAAGATTGAAAAAGATAAGAGACGTGCACAGAGGAACAGGGGCTATCCTGAAGAATCTTACGATTCACAAAGATCCACATCTTTAGTGCCATATTCAGTTCAGTCATTAAGCAAGGAAGAAGGTGGTGAGAAAGCAGTAAACATTTTTGTATTCACCTTAAAGATCACTGGCATAGGAAAAGCATAGTTGTCAACACAGAAAGGCTCCACAAGTATTAGGCAACAGTTACAAGCCCTGACAAAGTAGTTGCGTAGAAAAGGCAGCAGCATAAGCTAACAGAAATCGTCAACAACCACACACTTCTCAGTAGGAAGGATACTAAACAGAAGAACAATGTGTGTTTCTGCCACAAATTGGGCTTGGCTGCTTCCATGGATATAGTTCTGTAAGAGACAAAGAGTAACTGAATTTAGAAAAGACTGGAGTCAACTTTGACATGATTAACAACAGCTATAAAGCTTGGAACTGGGTTCTGTTCTGTCTCCTGAAAGAGACAGTGAAAAAGTTGGAGCATGAACAATCTTATCTGTTAACCATTGATTCTTGGGGGAAGCTGTGTCAGCATCAAAAATCCTTCTTCTATTAACATGTACAATCAGCCCAAAGTACCATTCAGATCATAGTAAGTGCAAGGGCAGCTCCTACAGCTTCCATGGTCCAGATCCCCAGTTCCGCAGGGACAAATACCATAATTACGCCCTCCTGTACCCACTGTGATCCAAGCCTGATCTAGATCCATTCCCTGACTCAGATTCTTAGGTTATGTAGGTTGCACCTCAGTTTAGGGACAGTATCTTTAATCTCCGCATGAACCCTACTCACTTGCCTCCAGAACCAAGCATTTGAAATCTTTTTCATGGCATACCAGGAAAAGGAACATCACTACCAATACCACTGAAGCTGCAGTCTTCAGTCTCAAAAAGGCTTAGGAATGATGTCAACAGAAGAAACAAAAGGAAGCACTTTCAAGAAAACATTTGAAATATAAGAAGTTCCACTTAGAAAGTCGGCTCAGTTTTATTTACATTAATAGTTTACTAACCAACTGGGTTAACAGAAAACTTGAAATTTGTGAAAGAATACCATTTTTTAATCCCTTATGGGATGCTCTATATCACTATGGTTGTGATGTTATATTTAAGTAGAAAAAAAAGTTTGATAAGCAGATCCACTTTTTGTGGAAGAATACAGAGGGCCTGACCCACCTAATTGGGCGTGAAAGGACATTTCACCAAATTAATTCCCTTCTGAGTAAAATACATGAGAAAAGTCAATGCCATGTGTAAGCATCTGAAGAGAAGCAATGCTGTCAATACACACTGTAGTAGTCAGAATATCTCATTCTGTATTACATACAGAGCAGCACATTTCAAGTGATGTTAAAACTGATTCTTCCCAAGAATGAGATTTCATAAGTCTAAGGTCACTAGACATTAATTTACTTCAAGAATCTCAAAGAAATATGGGTTTTTTATATTGAAGTCACTAGATGGGTGTATGAACTAAAAAGACCAGGTTAAAAATGAAATTGCCAGGCTCAGCAATAGGACTGTTTAGCACACAAGACTCAACATAAACACCTTTATTTGCTGTTAGCAATTTAGAACTATCATGTCTCTTCATCACTAGAGATACAATATATGGACAAGACAGAGGAAAGCAAATGTCACAGGTAAATAAATGCTGAAAAGAAAACATGGAAACAAATAGGAATGGTTAAAATATGCACAGGAGGTCAGAGAAATGGAAGAGATCAGGTAATTTAAAATAATCTGCCCTCAGAATGTAAGCAAAAAAGCATTGTCATTATGCTTCCTCCAAAATGTATCACTTTTTTTACTTTTACATTTTGGAGAGATGGGGAACAACAGGAAGGAGAACAGGAAGGGTGAAAGAAATGCTTACCTTAAGTTCTGAAGCAAGGTGGAACCTCCCCATCCAAATAACTTGGTAGCAAATAGTTTTGGTTACTCTGTATACTACCCTCTTTACCCTAGAGCATTATTTTAGTACCTTCCTAGATTTCTGTGATTACTAGAATAATCAAAGTTCCCACACACAAAAAGACCTTGAACTCTTCAGGTATTAACACAACAAAAATAAACTCAAAGGTAACACTTTGGAACTAGTGTGTCCCACTTCCAGCACAGTACCATCCATGACTGCTGTCCAAGGCTTTATTGCATGGAAAGCACTTTGAGCAGTTTCTAGCAAGAACCTGAACATGCTGCTAGATAGTAAATTAATCTTAGTATTTCTCAACTGATTAAGAATTGCATTTTTATTCTATTTCTTAAAAGTTTATTACTGAGCACAGAAAGGAGTACACCTAAAAACCCCTAAGAAACATTTATCCATACTGTTAGAATGTCACAGAACTAATGCCACCATTCTTACAGAATTCATGGATCATTGAACAAAAGACTGTATGCCTGACCCTCCTATCAAAATGGAATTCTAGGTAATGGTTGAAGTTATCATGCAGCAATTACACAACACAGCACTTTGCTTTGGATCAAGATCAGTATTTTGCGATTTCTTAGTAGCAAAGCACAAGTTTGCAAACAGAGTTTCTTCTTCTATTTGAGCCAAGAAAAGGATAAAGCTAATTGGAAGAAAATCTAAACCTTGACTGGAGCTCTAACACTCCTTCTGTTTTACACAAAACAAAACTCCTCTTTAACAGGCATATTTTAAGAGAAGACACATCCTCCCTGAATGAATCAACAGCTTTGTAATTTGCCTTGCTCACTGCAGGAGAGGTTAGCCTCACTGACGTACAAAGAAAGACGCCAAGAACAGAATTTGCACTCTGACTCGCCTCTTTTAGTATCAGCCTTATTCTGTAGAAATAGAACAGAAATGCAGAAAAGAAAACTAAGAAAAGACTTACCACTTGTCCTGTATGGGGATTCTTATGAGCATAGGGTGGACCTCTAATGTGGTTCCACATCTGGCCTGATGTCATTGCTAACACAAAACACTGAAAAGGAGAGAAGAAATACTATTTAATAGGTAATATTTTTTTTTACCCCATTTCTTTTCACTTTATACCAAAAACATACTCATTTGGAATACAATCTTAGGCTAGGCATTTTCCTACCTTTTATTTGTATAAAAAGCATCTAATCAAGCAGTAACTGAGCTGAAAAGATGGGAGATCAAATAATACTATTAGACTACCAAAAAGTAAAACTAAATGCACCTCATTTTCCTCTACCAGGTTTAAGCATCTTTAAATACAAAAGCTTTTAAAAACTTGAATGACAAAACTCATGACAACAGACAGATAAGAGTTATAATTACTCACCAAAGCAGCAAAAGCCCAGCCAGTTTTGTTATACAGAAAATCCAGATTGCTTCCACGCAAATATATGAGGCCTCCGATGACAGCCAGCAGCAGTCCTAACATCAACGGTCCAGCATAGTTTGGTGGCCTTATCACACGAATCTAAACAGAGGATATTTAAATTATTTTCCCTCAATGGGATTATACATTACACCCACACTCCTGCTAACAAAACCCACAATATATTAGAGTGGAAAAAATATCAATGCATACGCAAATGTTTTCTATATAATAAATCTGACTTGGGAAGTAAGTAATGCTTCTTCCCTTGTTACTGTAACTTCAGTTTTATACACCTTTACCTTACCTAATAATTTAAAGACTGTTTTTCTTCCATAGGAACAAAAGAGGGAGAAAGAAGGAGATGAGTTTTACCATCTTATCAAATACAGAATTACACAAAATATTAGAGCACAGAATGTAAGGAAACAAAGATGTAGTCCTGTCCCCAAACTAGATTTTGTAGACTAGAACTATTTAGAGCATCTGAGAGTAGATCGTTAGCCACAGAACACAACTGACATACTTCATTGCTGGAATTACATAGTAAGGGAGTGCCACAGAGGGATGATGGGGGAAGTCTGTATATACTTACATTGACATCAGTTCTGTCAGCCACCCAACGAGCAAGCTGTTCAGCAGCAAAGCCACGCACCTGAAGTTCGTATGTGTCACCCCGCTTAGGCTTCCCTTTAGCAGGAAAGTTAATGAAGGTAGGAGCAGAATTCATGTTTAACTGTATGTAGAAAATTCATAGAAGATACAACACCATGAAAGGTCTATTTAGTAACACAATTCTATTCCATTTCTATCTTGCAACATCGTCACTAAATCAATCAGAAAAAATAACTATTCAAGAAGTAGATTTCATTGACAATGACTTAAAAAAGAGTAAAGACTGCACACAGTAGCTTGCATTTCTGTATTTTGTAAAAAGTAATCAATTTACTCCTGCAATTTCCCTTTTGTGTTGCATGCTGTTTTCTCCTTTTAGAATTGAGGAACAAAATTTTTTCAGCTCTGTCACTAGCTTAAACACAACTGAGCATTGCAAAACTATAATGAACTATTAATGTGATCTACAATTGCAAGCGTACATGGAATGTTCTCATACATTTAAAAAAAATCTGGTTACATCATGTTCATAGAAGAGCAAAATGTCTGGGTACTTGAAAAGTAGTAAGTTAACCCATACCGAAAGCCTAATCTATCATTCTCTAGCAATCTAAAAATTGTAAGACTTGTTCCTAACGACATCAGTGCTTACTATCTTGCCTCTTCATGTATTGTAGAAGAATTCCATTAAGAATTACACTGTAAGTTATTATAGGAGACAAACTCAGAAAAAACAGTCAGAGAAGCCAGTTCACTCCCTGTGCATATTCCAGATTTGTCAGTTCTGTTAATACTACCGCCAATATGCTATTGCCCTCTGCTCTTCGCATTTCTTCTGAGAGTGTCAGTTTTTAACTTTTCAATTATTTCTTTAATCATTGTAACACTACATTTTTGTGTACATCTTTATCTTCTTGCCCTTAGTCTACAAAACCCCAGTTAAAAATAACATTTGAAGAGAAAAAGAAAGGTATTACCATCTGAAATACATCTGAGCCTTCATCAAAATCTACCATAGCAAAAAAAATCTTATTGGTAAATGCACTGGAATATCGCCACGAGTTTGCCAGAATCTGGTATTCCTCATCAGCTTGCCTATAAAACACACAAAGTGAAATGCTGTATCATATGTTTGTCCCAAACACAAGTTATAAAACAGCCGAGGGAGTTGTAGCCACCCACCTCATTAATAGACACATTGTACACACCCCACCTTAATTTTCTAGTGTTAAAGTTTAAGGCCAGACACTCGTCTAATAATCAAGTGAAGCATTTGGCACCACTATTTTTTTTAAATGCAAAGGCAAGATTTGTTGAGTCCATGGAGACAAGCAGTGGTAATTTCTAATTGAAATTTGAAATGGAACCCAGCAGCTCATGATTTGCTAGTCCACAGAGCACCAAAACAAGTATAGGTGTGCCCTCTTTTCCACGTCAGAGGACTGGAAACCAATTAATTTCAACTAAGTATGTATAAAAATCACCTTTACAGACCTCTGCCACCTCTGGATTAATACATGAAAGCCATAATATGGTTAAGGATCCAGCATATTATAATTGTAAATAAACAAGTGCACACCAACATATTAATTAACAGCAACTTTTAGACTGCATGGCCAGCAGTAATTCTACAAACATTCCTTCAGCAGCTCATGCCAGGAAAGCTGAGTTTTTACCCTATCTTTCTCCAGAAGCCTATCAGTGTGAATACTGTTTCTGCAAAGCAGTGATTATTTTAGGAGTGAGATAAATAATTAAGCACTATGTTGTTTTCTCACATAATATTACACATATATTCTCACATATTTAATTTCAAAGATGATCCTACTATAATGTGCCCTAGTATATTCCTCTCATGTACATGAAAGTTTTACCCTATTCTTAACTTTCATTTCCTACAAAGCTTATGATAACTTTCAAGTTCTAATTGAGGACTAAATTAAGCCCATACTTGCACACGACACACTGTCTGTGAGGCTGAAGAGCAGTGAACATCACAATCACCGAGTAATTTCTGGGTGGTGCCTTCACAAGGCGTCTAAATTTGTCTCCATTCATTCGAATAACAGATCTTTTACTAGCCCACTCCATTAGCTGGTTCACTTTTTCTGACAACACCATCTGAAAATAAAGTCAGAGAAACACTGTTGGGGTTTTTTGTTGGTTTTTTTCTAGTCTCACAGTACAGTCCTGAAGGTTTTCAGACTTGACGTAACAAACATCCACACTGTATTTCACAAGAACACTAACCACATGATGTGATACTTCATCAAGATTCTCGAAGGCATTCTGCGATCCTTCTGACAGTCATGTTAACATCATTCATTTACTTTAACCACCTAGTATTACACATGCTTTAAGCGCTTTGCATTACACATGCTGACGAAGACTGTCAGCTCACTAGTACTTTCTCATGTTCCTAATTTTAAGATTTCTTTCAGATGTACAAACTGCCCCAAATCACTCCACAGTATTTATTCAATACTAAGCATCACAGTTTCAGATTTCAAAACTTGGTGGCAGTGGAATCAACACTAGAGATGGAAGCACTATGGAAGTGAGCTCAACACCTAGTTTTCAGCATTGCTGGAAAAAACTTGATTCCGTACATATTGGAAGAACTCGGGAGGGCTCAACATTAAGCTCTTCTTTAAAAATACGCTAACCAATTCTGTAACATTATAAAAAGAAGTATCAGGTAAGTGAGAAACCACCAAATGTTACACTTATCATAACTACTTCGCTACTCCTTATGGATACCCTTCTTCAGACAAATACTTTACGATAAATAATAAACTCTCTTCTTTGACTTACGACCGACAAAGGTAAATACAGAGGGATCTTTTCAAGGAGCCAAGTGTGCAGAACCGTGTGACACCTCCGTGCTCACAACCAAAGACACTCAGCCCACCCACCCTCCCCCTTCAAGTCC